TCTAAAGGCTGTTTGCCATTAAAAACAAATATAGAATCCATAATTAAATTTAAAACCCCAACTACCATTAAACAAGTAAGATCATTTCTTGGAGCTGCAAATTACTTCCGTAGATTTGTTAAAAACTTTGCAAAAATAGCCATGCCCTTAACAACACTCATAAAGGAATTCAACGCAACGAAGAAGTTTCAATGGACAAACGACTGTGAGACTTCATTCCAGGAGCTCAAGACGATTCTCACCTCACCGCCACTTCTCAGCCACTTCGTAGAACACAGAGAGACCCGAGTGTACACAGACGCATCAAATTATGCTATAGGAGCAGTAATGACCCAGTATGATCCAGAAACATCTACAGAACATCCTATTCAGTATTTAAGTAGAAAACTAAAACCAAATGAAGTTAACTACAGCGTTTCAGAAAAAGAATTCTTATCCTTAGTCTATGCATTGGTAAAATGGAGAGAATTTTTATTTGGAAGAAAAGTAAAGGTTTTCACTGATCATTCTGCATTGCAATATTATAAATCATTTAAAGGAGCTTCATCTAGACTCACCAGACTCTCGAATTTAATATGTGACTACGACCTGGAAATTACTCACAAGGCAGGTAAATCCTTAGTCTTGCCTGACTTCTTAAGCAGAAATCCGGTTGACAAGACTATAGAAGAGGATTTCACTTTCAACCTTACTTCAGTAAATGCCCTTCATCTCGTGGACTTGAAGAAATTGCAAGCTCAGGACGATGACCTAAAATGCATCTTACTTGCTTTGGAAAATCCTGATCTTGTGGAACAAAAGTACAGGAAAATGGCCACGTATTACAAGACAGAGAATGGTGTACTCTACCGAATGTACAACGATTCTGATCCTCACAGACATGTTATAGCAATACCACGAATACTCGTCAACAACATCCTTCAGGAGTACCACAATTCACCGTTATCAGGAGGACATCTAAGTACATTCAAGACTCTCGGAAAAATCAAAGAAAGATATCATTGGATTGGTATGTCAACAGATGTCGAAAACTACGTGAAAACCTGCGAAAGTTGTCAGAAAAGAAAGAACTCTCCGAAGAAGAAGTATGGCTTCCTTAATCCTATCCCTCCCACTAACAAAATATTTGAACGAATCCAACTTGATATAATTGGTCCATTAAATCCTAGCAATAGATATAAATACATTTTAACAGTAACTGATGCCTGTAGTCGATTTGCATTTGCTTTCCCACTTGTAGTTGCAGATGGTAAATCAATTGTAAAATGTCTCTTAAAACTAATTTGTACTTATGGAACACCTTCTATTATACAATCAGATAGAGGTACTGAATTTAACAACAATTTGATTCGTGACTTAACCACAGCAATAGGTACATGCCAAATTCTAAGTAGTGCTTTCACACCACAAGTTAATGGGCAAGTAGAAAACTTTAATAACACGTTGATAAATATGATTTCTCATTATGTAGCTGAAAAACCAAACGCATGGTCACAATACATTGACTATGTACTTTTTGCTTACAACAACAGTAAACACCAGACAACCAAGTACAAACCTTCGTACTTATTTTTAGGCTTTGAGCCAAGCTTTCCAAGTGATACTTTGTTTGTAAATCCAAATGTAGAAAAAGATCTGTTAGAAAACTTAAGAATTGTAAATGAAATTAGGGACACAATACCTTCTATCATAGCTAGTGAACAAAAGAAACAAAAAATGTATTACGATAGGAATAGGAGAGACTTAATCTTACACCCAGGAGACCAAGTTCTCATATGGTACCCTAAAAATTTAAGGGAAAATCAAACCAAATTTTCTTACCGCTACAAAGGTCCTTATACTGTATTAAAACAAGTTACACCAGTCTCATATCTAGTGGAAATCTTAAAAAATGGAAAACTTGTCAAAGAAGTAATTCATGTCTCCCGAATGAAAGTTTTTCAAACAAGACTTGTAAAATAGAAATATTTAGTTACGTTAGGTCAATAGATACTATGTTTATTTTATAAGATAATTTTGGTAACACACAATAATTCATAAATATATTTCACAAGTTAGCTATTTACCTGATTTTGATTTATTGCCACACAAAACAATTAACCACAATACATATACGATTCATATGCTTTGACCTTACCTAGTATTCACTTAGGTCTAGTTAGTCATACGTAAGCAATGTGTATTCTAAGAAACAATTAGTACGTCTATTCCCGAAGCACACGCACTCCCGCAAACTCGTGTAAATATTATGTAAATAATGTGTAGCTACACAAAACTCAAGTGTTAAGTCGACTTTTAATACAAAAAGATCGCGTGGCCACGCAGACACACACAGACAATCGTAATCAAGTTTAGCATTGTAACTGTATTTTTAGTTCTTGTAACGAGCAACTTACTTACACGTTGGACACTTAGTGATTTTACTAGTGCGCGTAAGATGAATGATAATTAGTGACATTCAGTGACATACAAGTTGGTTTGGTGTACAGCCCAAGGACAAACTCCACTCAACGAGAAGTAATTAAGGATTGATCACCCTTAATTATTCACTCAAAAAATTTCTTTACAACTCTCTAGATTATTAAGGAAAGAAAGGACTTTCACGCAAGAATTCATAAATAATTAAAATAAAACATTTATGTTCAAAACTCCTATAACAAAGTGTCGTCATAAAGTAATTGTGAAGCAAATACCATTTTGAACATTTATGTGTCTAACAACATCAGGTATCATACAAGTGACATATTTTAAGTTCCATGTAACATACATTTCAAACAACTAAATATTCATTACAATAAGTAGATAGATAGTCTTAGTAGGAAAAGCATATGAATCAATTAAAATTGTATGTTACCAAGTACCAACATTTGTGAATAAAACTATTACAACATGTAATAATTCCACTGTTAAGTAAGTTTCAGCAGTTAAACAGTCCCTGAAGCCAACACCAAGTACAAGGTCACCGCAACACGACATGACTTCATTGCCATCGCATAGTCAGCACTCGCCGTCCATTCAACCCAGACGCCGTGATGCTGCCCATGTCGCCGTTCCAGCTCTGCTCGCCACTATCCTTCTCATATGGCAACCTACTCTATCAGCTGGCGCGGAAATTCCAACGCATATCGTGACCGGAATAATTTAATGACATCTCTTTATCATTCTGTCGCGCCACTAAAATAACCCAATCGACCCCTAAATCTCATCAAACATTTTATTAGTCTGGATAATAATATTAACAATTTCACTCATTATTTCAGCATATTTCATCCACATACTCAATATTAAAATGAATCTAATCACAAAACCTCAAACCCCTCAAAAAGACTATTAATGTAACAAAGTGTTACCCAGAATAAACCATTAATAATCTCAACATCAAAAAATAATTTATAATAATAATTTAAAAAATAAAACATCTTAACAAACAGCTAATATTTAAATAGTTCAACATTAATGAAACAATCAATTAACTTAAGGAGACTCGATGGGGCGAAAGAAGACGTGAGCGACTATGAGCTATACACCACCAGCTCATTCTACCGCGTCGCTGGAAGGGTCGCGAAACAAGCAAATGCGCCGATCCTCAAGATCGCGTCGCGTCGCAGGAAGGGGGGAAGAAGAGTCGGGACGCACATCAAGATATCCGTTCGATTCCCACCTTCGCGATTGATGTTTCCGCGTATCTCCTTAAGTTGTTTTTTTCCTTTTTATTGTCAACCGGTGGTAGGTTGACGTTTTAACCAGGGGGGTGTAAGAAAGGGGATTAACCCCGTACCCACGGTGCTCATCTATGCAGACACTCTGTTCACATTACACTTAGTCGACCAGTTGGTGTGAACAGAGTTGAACAGTAGCATGAGCATCGATTTACAAATTCCTTTCCCAGCTGATGTGAGCTAGGCGATGACCGGTAGGGCTGACTTCCAAGAAACACCGTTAACCTATTAGCCACACACCCTATCGGTAATCAGCCAATGAGAAGGGCTAATGATGAAGATGGAGGGGTCAAGACTCTTGGAGCTGGAGGATCTGAAGGAAAACATCAAGGAGATCACCACGGGCCACCGGAGAAAGAAGATCGGGAGTTTGGGAGTGCGTGTATCGGTGTGTGTGCTTCTGGGACAATAGACAGTATGTAGAAAGAATAAAATATCTAACTAACACTTTGTCAAACATAAAAGTCATATAATTTGTCAGTAACTAATTCTTTTATATTTTCTATTGATTTTCTTTTCTTGTAAATTTAACGTTGTAAATTAATTTATCTTATTATTGTTGTTTTTTGCATTTTCAAAGTTTTCTTTTGCTGTTGTAACACTTTTAACTTTTGTTGTTTTCGTAATTTAAATTTTTGTTCATTACACGTTGAGTAACACCCTTAAGCAGTCTTATGTCTCATTAACCTAACACCTCTTAACTAAGCTAAGCGAGTGAATCATTTTAGGAAACTTAAACTTAAAGTGAGGCATGGGACTCGCAGTACATAAGGGATTTACCTTACTTGAATGTTCCTATTGCATCTTGTCCAAAATATACTTTCAACAACACCATCACACACTGCGCTTCCATACGAGCTTCCATTGCGATTCTAACGAAACTCATCAATTATTTGTTAGGTATTGTTTACCAAGCAACAATATAAACTAATCAGCTGATATAACTGCCACTGATTAAAACCTTTTTAGCCACTCTTTCGTGGTGCTTTTAGAAAACTTATAAAGTAAACTGATAATAAAGTTGTAAGGTTTTATTATAAACACCCTGTATTATAAAATCCCAAAATATATGTTCATTGATAAATATATTAAATATTCCCCAAAGTTTTGATTTAGTTTATTTTTTTTCAACCCTTATACAGAACTGAGAACTACAATTGATTCAAGTGGTTGATTTTTTTACAAATTAGTTGTAATAAGGTTAATTAAAATCAATGACATTATAAATGTTACACTTTTTAATTTTTTGTGGACTACTATTAATTACGTTTACTGTTTCAGGTTAAGAAGACACGAAAAGTTTGAAAATAAGAAGATTCGACGTTTCATTACTTCACAATCAACAAAACATAACATTTTCACAATAAAAGTTTGCTAACTCCTCAATGTTTATTTTTGAAATAGTTGGGTTGGATAAAACTAAATCCAACCTTTAGTACCTATTTTGCAAATATAAATAATATAAATGTAGTTGTATTACTGTATTATGTATTTTTACAATTTAATGTATAAATCCTGTAAAGCTCGTGCTCCATCCAATTTGTGTGTAAATATTCAATAAATAAATTTTTTGATCTCCACGTTTTAAATCATTTTATTTAATGAACTATTTTGTATGCGTTTTTCAAAGAATTTGAATGTAATTGCAATACCGCATCTATTGGCAGCATTCATTGAATTTCTGTGTTATTTAAAAGGAAACTGGTTAAAATAAGAAAATTATATTCACATATTTCCCTTCGATATAGGTTTATTTGATATCACAAAATAATAAACAAAAATCAAAGTCTGTATGGTTTTAAATATCACCTTAATCTAAATATTTTATATTTAAATAAGTTAAATATTACAAGTACCTAAGATGTGACTGAAAATCATAAATGGCTCATAAATAAATTCTCCTTAAACCAAAAGTAAGTTTTTAACACTATCTATTTTCATATTATTTAGCAAACTGTACACTTTTACTACTATACACTATTTGGAAATAAACATAATTTGATGCGTTCTTCTATCCCCAATATCCAAATGGGCCTGAAAAAAGACATTTTAAGTGTTAGAAATTGCTATCGCATATATCACAACAACAATTGAGAGGAAAGTATAATTTTAGACTGTACCATCCTCTGTTAGTGACCTATACATATACAGTAAGTTCTCTTTACTTTCTCCCCCTATACCATAGTATATGGAGAAGTATATGGTATTGTTTTCGTCAACATTTTTGAGTTTGGGTTTTGAGTGGATATATCAATTTTGGGTCGCCCTGAACCCAAAAAAGTGGTTTCCGAAGTGATGCCTGTGTGTGAATGTGTGGATGTGTACAGAGCTGTGTGGTATGTAGGTACTCATCCATGGCATCTCCAGGCTTTTTTTCATTTTTTAAAATATTGATTTTAATTGTGATTTTCCCATAAAAACCCATCAAGTAACGGAAAATCTGATTTTCTCTAAAATGGCACAAACGATTTTGATACAAATTTAGTATGTTATAGTCCTTTAGATTCAGAACAAAATGGTACAAATCATATTTGCGTAAAAATTATGGTTCAAAAGTTATGTTACTTTGTACTTATGTATGTACTTGTGTTATTTTCCCATAAAATAACGGAAAAATCTGATTTTCTCTAAAATGGCTCAAACGATTTTGATACAAATTTAGTATGTTATAGTCCTTTAGATTCCGAACAAAATGGTACAAATCATATTTGCGTAAAAATTACGGTTCAAAAGTTATGTTATTTTGTACTTATGTATTTATTTTCCCGTAAAAACCCTTAAAATAACGGAAAATCTTATTTTCTCGAAAATGGCCCGAACAATTTTGATAAAAATTTACTATGTTATAGTCCTTTAACTATCATATTTCCGGAAATATTACGGTTCAAAAGTTATTTTAAATAATGTTTTTTCCCATAAAAACCATCATAAAATAACAAAAAATCTTATTTGGAAAATCTTACCAAAGCCCCATCCGCCCCATAGCCCCCAAGGATGCCAGAAAGGCCAGAAGGTTTCTGAGGTGTTGAGGTCCTTGTCTCCTTTATCCAGGTCCTTCTGATCCTTGGCTTGAGGGGCTGCGAGGCACAGCGTTGCCAACGCCAGCAGAACACATACCTGCGGGGAGAAGCAGAATAAACACAGAGTGTGGACCGTTTCTTGTCAGTGTTGTAATAGTATCACTGGGTTGTGAGGTTCATGATTAGTAGCAAAGTTTCATGTCCGGTAACGCCAGAAAGCATCGATGACAACTAATTGCTACACATTTTACAGGGTGTTACTCTTTGCGGATACTACTACTAATGACTACCTACCCAAAAAGCATTGGTTCACATGTACAAGGGGTGGACCGTTAGTAAGTACCAAAAATTTAGGAATAACTTAATGAGTCAAAATTAAACGAACATCAAGAACATTTTTTTTCTAAAAACACCTTGTTAGTAAGATGTCTACCATTTTGTATTGTTTTGAATGTATATCTTAAAATATATTAAATATGTCTTTATGACATCTGGTAGACAATTTTAAAAGTCATACGCTATTTGAAAAAAAAAATCATTATGAAATCTTTTTTTGGAAATGGGAGTAATTTTCCTTACAAAAAATTAAATGAGGCGTTTTTGGAAAATTTTTATTTTTGATTTTCGTTTCATTTCGAGCCATCAAACCTATTCCTAAATTTTCTACTTGCTTGGGACACCCTTTACATAGTTTTATTGATCGTAATAATTTGAAGTAAGTGTGATCTAAAAAAATACTGAAGTGTGACCATGCCCATATAAAAACTTCCCTTAGTTATTTCATATACGAAAAATATTTAAGAGTGTGTTTTAATTTATGGTAAATAAAATACATGAAATGGTCAACTTTATAAAAACAAAAGCTGTATTTACTAAATCAGTATTTTCTTGCAGGCTTACCACAATATAAAAGACCCCAAAAATGGATGAAAGGACCCGGTTCGAATCTAAAATACATCTAGATATTATCTTATAACTTAATGAAACTGTTATTGTTGCTTGTCGTTTGATATGAATGACTTATGAGCGTATTAATGAAGTTAACGCTTAACTTATCATTACTGATCCAAACCAAGATTAAACGTTAAAGTGTTTATTTTTATTATATCTATGTTATATTTTTATACAATTATTTTAAATATTCATTTAAATGAATACTTAGCTATTAAAACGATTCATTGACTTTAATTGTTGATTATATGGATAAATGGTTACTATAATCATTTGAACGACCAACACAACTTTAAATAACAGGCCTAATGAAACGTAAAAGCTTGTAAAAATATATTATAAAAGTAACAATCAAAATAATAGGGTTCACTAAAATTTTACTTTAAAATTGTCTATCATATTCAATTGTACTAGTAACTGTAAACACCAACGGGGAAGTATACACCGACTTCAGGTATAATGACACCTCAATCGTAAAAATCGGTTAAGTAGAACCATGGAAAAAAAGAATGAAATACATACCGTCAGCCGTGCTGCTTTAAATATAGGCTCTGGCGTCCACCGCTGGGAGCGCCGTGAAGTACGCTCCCAGCGGTGGACGCCAGAACCTGTGCTAGTTGCAGCATGGCTGACGGTCTATATTTCATTCTTTTTGTCTATGGTAGAACTGCTGAAAAAGGGATATGTAACAGAAAACACCCTTAATTTATTAAGTATAGAGTTAAAAAAAAACCTGTACCTAACCTAACTATGGCTGACACAAATCAATTCATACACTAATGATTTATAGATTATTGTGCATTATTTTTTTTTATTTCGTACTACAACTCACCATCAATAGTCGCCCGTACATCCTAATCAACCTTACCCACACAACTAAAGGAGAAAGTGACCAGAGTCCTTATAAATCTTCTTCAACACAAACAAAACTTCTGCTGACTCAGCGTGTATTATTGGTATTTTTAATTATTGTGGAAAATCTTCTACGCAGGATTGTTTTTGCTGTAAACAACTTCTAACATCAAGATAAGGGGGTCGTTAATGTCCAGAAAATTCTACACTCAAGTAATTTCGTTGAGTAATGAGGAAAACGTAACGGACTTTAGGAGCCTGTGGGTGTAGTGGTGTTCTACAATCTAGTGTATAATATTTTGGTTTAAGAACTTATATCTCATGAATGTAGTTTGAATCTTATCTATAAATACGTTTTTTGGGTGTCTTCGGTCATAATGTATATCTCGGTTATCGGCATTTTTAATAGGGTGATTTTCGTAACTGGAACTCTGACAGCTTCCATAAGATTAGAACAGAAATGAAATTATCATAAAGGTAGTAAAGTATTAGACTCTTTTTGGTTAAAAGATTTGTTCATTGTAAAATTACAGGCATTGCAGTCCATGGAAATCTTTTTGAAAAAATATCTGTGTAGAGAATATACAGTGATCTGTTTTCTCAGTATTTCAATAGTGTTGTGAAATTAACAAATACAATTAACATAGAATAAGGTTAATAACATGTCGTCAATCAGTCCTATATTGTCGTGGATGACTATAGTTTCGGGATTAAGCCCCCATTTTAAAATCTTCTCTTCAGGCGTCATATGTCAAACATATCTTCTTGCACTAGCAGTCGTCAAAATTACTTCATAGAGAAACATTTATATTTACAAAATCATGTAAATGCGCGCGAGGCCGGTCAAGGACAAAACTAGACTGCCATATGATTCATATTTTTGACATATGACCAAAAAAATGTATGACTACTGAAGAGAAGATTTAAAAATGTGTTTATAACCCCGAAACTATAGTCATCCACCACAATATAGGACTGATTTACGACTGGTTAGTAACCTTATTTTATGTCAATTAATCAATCCTGGAGGCAAATTATGTATAAAATACAATTACTAATATCCACTCTTGATATATTACCATTCTTTCCATAATAGTAATATTAATGAAATGCATAAAATATGCACCTTTGGTATTTTGTGTGTTTTTACCGGACATATTTGTTTACATCTAATATTTTGTGAAGTATTTCCACTTTTTGAAGGTTTCCATAAAGGAAGTTGGGAATTACTGGTCATTAGTTTTAGGATTTGGTAAGTACGTCATTCTATGTATTTAGTATCGGTTTCATATTAAATATAAGTTTTTTCCGCACATTGAGTGTAAATATATTTAGACAATTTAGATTGATTTACTTTAATTTGTTTTGTGACCTGACAATGTAAAACAACTAAATGCCTTTGTTTTTACAATTCATTAGAATATCTTTCCAATTTCTCTATGAGTACGCCTCCCTCTTCCATACTAAATAGGAAAGCCAACTTTTAACTTTGTTGAAAAATTTCAAACTTACCATTTTTACATGCCATCCATCCCAAGTATTTATTTTATATGTAATGTTATGATAACCGTTTATTTGGGATGGTTT